CTCTTACCACCCCTATGACAGAGTTGCTTAAGTTGGCATTGTTTTTCAGTCTTCTATAATTATTCAGTATATTAACATGTCTGGCTGTAAACTAAATGTACTGATGTTCTATGCATGTATCATCTGACTCTATACATTACTAATATAACAGCTGTACAATGCCTGCATGTAGCTTTGGCTGCAGACAGTCATGCTTTATATTCTGCTGCTAACAAAATGTACCTCATTACACTAGGCTTCTAATCTAGGGACTCATCTATTTTTCATTATAAATTGTAATATTATAAAGTGTTATCTTTACACTGATTATAAAATATTTGTAAATATATAAATTTCTATGGTGCTCCCCTAATGCAAACCTGTCATTAGAGAAATATGTGGCCTGGTCCCAAAAGTCTTACAAACAGAACGAGCATTAAGCAACTAAAGGACTTTAAAAAAAATATCTCTATACTTGTTCTGGGTCAGTGAAAATATTGAAGCCTCAGGATCAGCTTGATGGCCAGGCTGCAGGCAACAAACATTTTCTGAAGGAGAGGTCAGTAATGGCAGCCTCTATATTTCTCTAATGGCAGCATTCCCTTAAACTGTCAATAGCGAGGATGATTTTCTCTCCAGTTTTTATGATGAAAGGTTATTTAATTTACGACTGAAACAAAGAAAGTTTGTGACTCTCTTAGGAACATTGGTAGAAATGCAACCTAAAACAAGCACACATACATTTTATTAATTAACTGACAACCAAGTGTGTATATAAATATAACACGTTTGTGATACGGCACTATGTCCATCTGTGCTAAGGTACTAAGTAATGCAGTTACTTCCTAATAGCTGCCTAACAAATTCAAGCTAATTCTGAACCTGAAAATAGTAAATGACATAACCAGTTTTTGGGACTGAAACATCAATCCTTATGTAAATGTATAAAAGTGTAGCGCTACCCTCTTGAGAGCTGCTGGTTTTGAGCCCCCCTTATTTCCAGAATTCCAGAAAAGCATTTTCTAAATTGTAGCCAGACACAAAGAAACAGTCCATTGGCTTGTTTTTTTTTTTGGATTTATTAGAGAATTTAACTTGGATAGGGTAAAGGGGTTATGGGATGCCCAAGTTGATAGCAGAATAACAATTAAGAACGATTTCTTTCTCTAGACTACTACAAAAAGGCAAATATTTAACTGTGTTCTAGCTGGAACTATGACAGACTTTAGCAAAGTGACAGCCTGAAGAAGCTCTGAGTCCCTTTTAGTGGATTTTGTAGCAAAGTCCCAACTTGTAGGAGCTCATAGGCTCCTACGTGAACAAAATACCAGCCCACCTGGCTATGGTATCTGATCCCAGGACAAGGGATTGGGTAAGCTATGAGCTGTCCCCTGAAGACTTGCCAAGAACTAGGGTGTAGAGGTACTCACACTGTCCTTATCCTGTAGCTGTGAATAGAACTGCTTTCAGACCTTCCGCTGGGCTGGGTATTCCCCAAGATATGCAGGTTGTCCTTTCCTGGTGGACTGCAGGGCAGTGGAGCTCCCTCCTCCAGCTCTCCTCTTCCCTTCAGAATCTAGGCTGGAGGCAGAACCCCCCTCATTCTCTTGGACCTCCTCCCAGGCTACACAGCAGCACTTCTCAGCACTCCATCTTCCATCCGACTCTGCTGCTGGCCAGGCTCTGTCATATTTATGGGTTGATCTGCCACACTGTCAGGCCACCTGCCTGAGATTGGTCCAACCCCCATAAATATGTAGATCAGTCCCTCCTCACCATACCAACTTCTAGAAGCTTCTCCAAACTTCTAGAGCAGGGGGAGGTACCAGAGGACTGATCTGTAGAGCCCTCTAGCTTAACCTGTAGTAACCTTCTATCTAAACCCAGGCTTCTAGAGGGTGCTGCATTATTAAATACAGGTTTAACCACTGGAAGAGTAATTTAACCTAGAACTTGCAGAAACGTGGATGTTCAATCCTTCTATGATTCAGCTTTCCTTTGGACCCCAAAAAAGTGGCAATTCCATATAGAAACCAATAAAGGAATGTAATATTGGATAAAGAAAAAATACAACCCATAGGGTGCTCAACTATTATGGTAACAAAAATAATAATAATAACAATAATCATATAAATAATAATAGTCAGCTTATTATCACTTCTAGAAGAAAGCTACTGAAAATTTTATAAGACGTTTCTTCCCCTACAAAGCACTTTTTTTTCAGATTCTTACTAAATAATGGAGTGGATATCGGAGCCAATACTGATTGATACAAGATAAGTTGATACTTGTATTGCATCATAACACACAGGCCCACTGGAATTTGTGCGCAAATGCTATGACTCCCTTAGATCTTAACCAGTTCCGTGCCATCCTATAGCAGAAATATTGCTACAGGGCGGCATGGTGCACAAAATCAGGTATATATATATGTGATTTTGCAGTACCGGGTAGAGGCCATTAGCGGCCTCGACTGTCAATCACCAGGTCCCGGCCGGTGATTACTCGCTAACACCTGGTGATCACTGAGTATCTCCGACAGGGGAGAGACCTGTATGTAAACAATACAGATGTCTCCCCTTACAGCTCCTGCACACTGCTTTGTATGGCTCTGCATAGCAGAGCCATGCAAAGCAGTGTGCTTACAGTGAAGCACACACAGCCCCCATAGTGAAACAGCACATAGTTAACTCTTTGATCGCCCCAGATGTTAACTACTTCATGCCCAGTGCCATTCGTACAGTGCCAGTGATTTTTATTAGCACTGATCACTGTATTGGTGTCACTGTGGATGTCAGTGACACCAAGTCAGTTCCCCCCAGTGTCAGAATACCCACCACAGTCCTGCAGTCCCGCTATAAGTCGCTGATCACCACCATTACTAGTAAAAAAAAATACCAATTCCAGTATATATATCACCATAAATGTTATAACTTTCACATAAACCAATTAATTTATACATATTTGGAATTTTTCCACAAAGACATGTAGTAGAATACATTTTGGCCTAAATTTATGATGAAATTTGATTTTTAACATTTTTTACTGGACATGTTTAAATAAAAAATATAGTTTTTTTTTTTTCTCAAAATTGGCAGTTTGTTTTATATTATTGCGCAAAAAAAATAAAAACCACACAGGCGATCCAATACCATCGAAAGAAAGCTCTATTTGTGGGAACAAAATGACACAAATTTAATTTGGGTGCAGCGTTGCATGACCGTGCAATTGTCAGTTAAATAATGCAGCGCCATATTGCAAAAAATGGCCTGGCCAGGAAGGGGGGTAAATCCTCTGGAAGGCAAGTGGTTAAAATGGTCAAAACGTGTCATTTTGGGTAGAGTAGGGAAAGGTTAAACCCCATAACCTTTTTCTCTCCTGTGTTCACATAGGGAAGATTTCTTTTCACTTCCTTGTCAGAGACACAATAAAAATCTCTCCAAAGGGAGGGACGAATCCCCTCTTAGTTGTCACTGTAAAAGATGTTTCCAGTTGATGATTTCCCCTCTCCTGTCGTGGTAAAGTATTGAATTTCCCATCACTTTCTATCCTGGCAACAACGGTGGCCAGAAGAAATAGAATAAATCCAAATAATAACCTGAAATTTTTTTTTTTTAGCACTTCCTGATGCCTAGCTGCATGTTTAAAGTGGAACAAAACTCTCTCAATCAAAATTAAAGTGATTGTAAACCCATGATTAAGAAAAAAATAACAAACATGTCATACTTCCCTGCTCTGTGCAATTGTTTTGCACAGAGCAGCCCAGATCCTCCTCTACTTTGTCCCCCCCTAGCACTCTTGGCTCCTACCCCCTGCTAAGTGCCCACCATAGCAAGTTACTTGTTACAAGGGCATTCATGCTCTTGTAACAATCCTGAACCGTGCACTGTGTGTGCATTGACACACAGAGTGTGGCTGGGCCCCACTCTCCACTCCCTCCTCTCTGGCTGTGATTGACAGCAGCAATTGTCTTTGTTGGAGTTACAGGCTAGGCTCTGAAGTCTTAAAGCATGGGTGCTCAAACTGTGGCCCTCCAGCAGTTGCAAACCTCCCATCATGCCTTTGGGAGTCATGCATGTAACTGTCAGCGGCTTGCAATGCCTCGTGAGCAGGGGTGGACTGGCAACTCATGGAACCCTCGGGCAATAGGGGATCATGGTGCCCCTGTGTACTTGCCCAAACTCAAAAAATCCTATGAAAAAGGTACCAGGGGCATCTCATGGCCCCCTACTGACCCCGGGCTCTCGGGCAGTGCCCGAGTTTCCAAATGGTCAGTCCGCCCCTGCTCATGAGACTTGTCGTTGAGTCTTCTATCAACTTTCAGGTATGTAACCCCTGACACCAATGAACTTTTGAGCTGTCAATCAGGGTGGCATCATTTCCACTGATCTAGAATATCTATTTGAAATGATCAGTTTTTCCCCTAACAGTAGAAGATGTCTTCAAGGTTTACAAAGTGTACTAAGGGAAACAAATGTTTTGTGAGCTAATCATTGCAGCTGCAGTATTACACTCATTACATATTACAATCATTGCAGCTGCAGTATTACACTCATTACATATTACAATCATTGCAGCTGCAGTATTACACTCATTACATATTACAATCATTGCAGCTGCAGTATTACACTCATTACATATTACAATCATTGCAGCTGCAGTATCACACTCATTACATATTACAATCATTGCAGCTGCAGTATTACACTCATTACATATTACAATCATTGCAGCTGCAGTATTACACTCATTACATGTTACAATCATTGCAGCTGCAGTATTACACTCATTACATATTACAATCATTGCAGCTGCAGTATTACACTCATTACATGTTACAATCATTGCAGCTGCAGTATTACACTCATTACATATTACAATCATTGCAGCTGCAGCTGTAAACTGCAGCTGATAAGCTCATGTTTAGGAGCTGTTCAGTGTATTTTTCAGCAGCCCCTGAACTCTCCCTAATGTTTTCATGTACACATCTTCGTTTTCAGTCGTTTACAGTCTTTTTTTTAATGCAGAAAACATGCGTTCAGCAGTTGATTTTATCAGCGTTTCAAATGCGAAACGCTTGTAAACGCGGCTAAATCACGTTTATAAGTGTTTGCATCTGAAACATTTTTTTTAACTCTTCCAGTTCCTGATGCTGTCCTTCATCATGAAAAATGCATGCAAAGCTTTTTCAAGGTACTCAGATGGACAAAACACTGAACACAGGATGTTCCTCCCAAGCTTGTCATACATTGTAATGAGCAATTCACTCCTCAGACCTCTCCCACCCTTGGAAACAAAAGATATGTCAATGACCGTTCACACCTCAAATTCCCCATGAAGACCCCCTGCCAGGTGGCCTTAATGACTCACTCCACCAGACACCTTTCCCACCCTTGGAAACAAAAGAAATGTTAATGAGCAACTCACACCTAAGCTAATCTCAATACATACTGCTGTCTCTGCTTCTACTCTCTGTATGTCTCTGAAACAGTCTGAAATAGTTAATAATTTACCACTTTTCAGTGAATTCTGGGCATTTGGGAGGTTCTCCTGTGCTTATCTTTAAAAAACGCTTCTAAACGCAAACTCACATAAACGCGGTATGCAAACACGGCTAAACAGACGTTTTATAACCTACGTTTCCCAGCAGTCAGTTTCCATCGTTCAGAAGTGTCCCGTGTACATGGGGCCTTAGAATCAACTGCATGACGTTTCTTTGGGTGTCTCCATTAAATAAGTCTTCAGTCTACAAAATTATTATAATTATTTACAGATGTGCCATTAGTAAAATATATTGGTTTTTCAGGTTTACTGCACATTATTGCTTATTGAACAAGCCTGAAAGAGTTACAAACTTTCTTTCACCACTGCAGCTGCCGCAACAGTCACATAATGGTTAAAGCTGAACTCCAAGATTTAAAAAAAAAAAAAAATACCCTTGATAATGCTCATTTAGTTTAGGGGTAATGGAATAAGCTGTAATACCTTATTGCTCACTTTAGCAGGCTTCCACCACACTGTGTAACTGGTCCTCCGAGCCTCTTCTGTTGGTGCTCTGGATAGCCCTCTTGAATATGAGGATGGCAAGGGCCCGCTCACAACCCAGAGCATCACAGAGAAGGTGAAAGGTAAGTAGTACAGCTTATACCTCAACCCCTACACTTCACAGCAGTTACCTTTGCAGTGCTGATGGGCCCCACCACAAGTGTATTTTTACAAAAACTCTTTGCTTCAGCTTTAAACTTTGTAACGTAGAAAAAAAAATATCTGCATGTTTTATTATGCACTTTGTCAAACTGCTCATTATGTAATCTACACTACAGCTGAGCACACTGATCTCTCCTTTATAACCAAAATATTTCTCTCTCTTTTTTCTTCTCTTTTTGTTTCAATCTGTCATATGTCACCCGGTCTTTCCTTTATTTTATATGGACTCCTTCATTTCTTACGAATTTTCTAAACTATATTTTCTTCTCTGTGCCGTGCTAACCTTTTCTCTTGGAAATAAACATTCTCATCTATTTCCCCCCTCTCACTCTCTTCTGCTGCAATATCTTCTTATCTGACAATCCATCCATGTGTTCTCTTCCGGGATTTGCTGTTCATGTACAATTGTTATTTTGTGCCCTTGCCATATGGTTTGTGGGGAACTCTCTCTTCACCCTTGTGTTTATTTCTCCACATATTCCATTGACCTACAAATACAAACTTCTGCATTCTGCCTGTTGACGGTCTGTTCCTCATCTCATCCTTCAACGATGTCTTTCTGCTCTGGTGTCTTGCCTCAAATTGATTGGTCTCCTGGTGTTTGTATTGGGTCTGCCATAACTTGTCGTAATGCTTTCCATATACATCTGTTTTATTTTCCTTTTCTGTTTTACACACAATTGTCATTTCCCTTTTCCTTTTCATTTGAAATCATACTCATACCGATTTCTGTAAAATGGGTAATTTTTTTTCTGTTACACCATACCTTAAATTCTTGTAATCACATACAACATTACTTTCTCTCAACCTCTCATTGCTATTTGCTGTGACTTTGTTAATAAATATACACATTCCTAATTCAAATGCCCATCTGACATCTTTCATATCTTTATTCCCATTCGTATGATTTCTAAAATTGCGTTCACTCCACCTTCTCCAACCATGTTCCTTATTTCTATTCTTCACTGAAACAATCATCCTTCCCTTATTTTCTTTCCTACTTCTTTTGTCCCTCCTCTTTCCTCTCTCAGGCCCCCTCTGGATCTGACCCTCCTGTTCTCTCCCTTCCCCTCCTAGGACTTATTGTTATAATGGGGACACTCTGGTGCTGGTGGGCTGAGACGTCCTAGTGCACATCAGGTACTGGTTTCCATGTGACTCCTCGTGCTCTGCATGCATTGCTTTGCACGGCTGGGGGTTTCTCTATTGCCTTTGCTTCCATGCCTGATGCTGAATCTGTCTCCCGCTCTCTCTTTGTGTGTGCCCTAACATTTCCTGTCACTACTCTCTGTTTTTTTTCATACTGCTTCTTTAGTTTTATAACATTATATTTGAAAAATTGATAAGGGCTAATACGTCAAACGTTGGTAAAGAATGTTCTCCTATTGTCTTGCTGCCTGCGGTTAATTTCTCATACTGTTTATGTGGATTACTAAGAGGTGGTATCAAAACGTTTCCAGACTAGTTTTGTAACATGCCAACAGATGGTGGCACAAGACTGCACAGGGAGCACCAACCTTCATAAATCAGTGTGCCAAAAGACATCATCCTGTGTACATTGGGATCTGTGCAACTGGTGCTATTCTTACCATATGCATTACCCCATCTGCTATGTCATCATGGACAGCAATTTAGAGTAAAGAGCAAAAGTGAAATTCTGGCTGAAACTGGTCAAAACGTGTATCTCAATGTTGTCAAAACGCCGACCTTTGAGCTGGATCTTCATCTTCAAGAAGAGGGCGTTTTCAGGGGTTGAGCTCGTTGAAGGTCTTCCTGATCTCTCGTCATCTTCCAGTGATTTTCTTCCACTCTTGAAGTGCGCATGCCACTCAAAACACCTTGAACTATTCATTGCAGCATCGCCATAAACTTTCTGATTCATGTCAAACTTCTCCGTGGCAGATTTGCGGAATTTCAAATTTGCTCTCTGTTCTAACTTGCTGTCCATGATGAAATAGCATACATGGTAATGCACGTGGTCAGAATAGCATCAGATGCACAGCTCCCGATGTACACAGGATGATGTCTTTTGGCATTTTGACTTATGAAGGTTGGTGCTACCTATGGCTGTGTGTACAGCCTTGTGCTGCCATCTGTTGGTGTGTTACAAAACTAGTTTCAAAACTTTTTGATACTACCTAAGATGGCTCAGTAGGAGCCAAGATAACACTGACAGTATTTGGTAAAAGTATTAAGGCTAAGATGAAAGCTTACATTCATGTTTTTCAGTGTCTGAAGAAGAAAAAGGAAGGGGTTGATATGCAAAAAAAAGTATTATGTAGTATATATTACTGCAGCATGAAATAAAGTATGGTAAAATGTACAGGAGTCTTGCTTTTGGTGCCCATCAATATAGTATCTGGCATTTGAACATTTTCTTTCCCACTCCTGACATTGCTTCCTCATTAAAAGTCAACCTAAAAGTCAATTCAATAGGAATATTTTGATGTTAGTTTAGCTCCTATAGTTGAAGGTAAGTGAATCTAAATATTCTAGATCCAAGGATGCTCGAATATTTATGAATCTTGCTCAGTATTTATCTTCGCTTTTGACAGTCATATAAATAGGGAATCTTGTAGCCAAGAAGTGAGTTTCGGTAGCCTGGCTCCAGAAGCTTTAAAGGCGAGTGGAGATTAGGTGAAATCTGTAAAATTGCATTTTTAAATATCAAATGGATTCTCAGATTAGCCTACTATGCAAAAGAGAAAAGACTGGGCAGCCTGAGAGTTTGGCAGTAGACCAATTGAACCATTTTGCTACATGTATAAGTAGCTCTAGCAGGCAATAACTGTGCAACTAGAGGGACAGGATTTAAACTGTTAGGCTTATGATGGCATTCTGTTTCCATCAGTTCATCATTTTGAATAATTTTTCAGCAAATCTAAAATGCATGACATTTCCATACCCCACTGTTCTTAGTGGGCTTATTCTCTGCATTTTCAGGCAAGAAGCACTGTACAGGTGGTAGAAATCACATGGCAATGCACTATTTTGGATTTACAAACTTCAGTGCAATACAGCACATACAAAAACACATGGCAACTCATTTATGGTTATACATGCATCTCCATTCGCTTTTGGTGGCAATGAGTTCTTAATCAGTATACTCAAAAGAACAGCACAAAAGGCATTCAAAGGATCCAAATTAACACTCAAACTGGTAATGCATTTAACCATTATGTATGTTTAATGAGAATCTTTATCAATAGTACCAGCTTGATTTAGATCCATTACCAGATTCATATTGAAATTGGCATTTACAAGGATATAAATTACTCATAGTCCAATGTGGTATTAAAAATGGTTCTCTCCAGATGGTTAATTTGTTATTGGACATCAAGTCATGAAGATCACCTGATTGTACAGTCTTGCTTTTACATTGTTAAAGCTAAATGTACTCCAGCTGAGACTAGCCTAAAGTGTATATCTAGACAAACTCTTATTTTATTGTTTTGAATGGAGTAGGGACATTTTTGCTGATGAAATTTCTCTTACTTTCCTGCAACCAATGACATGAAGAGGAAGTCTCTGCAAAGAAATACCCTCTTAGAAAGTTTTCGCTGCTACAGGTGTCTTCGTTGGAAGGTTTCATTACTATACCTGTTTCAGTGACAGCTGTAAAATATTTGGTTTCTTATCATTTTTGTTCCTGGTGACATCAAAGTCTAAAACAAATACAGGGAATATATATTTTTCAACCCTTCCATGCTCTCTCCAAACCTGAAGAAAAAATGTTTTAGCAAATGATAAACATTAACACAGTGACACACGTACAGGCCTTTGATACCATTAAAGCTGAATTTCAGGAATTTAGGAATTTAGCTACTTTGTAAAAACTGTGAAGGCATACCATGAATTAATCTAAGGAGGTCCCTGGAACCTCATATCCTTATCATTATTATTCACATCTGACAAGTTTATTGGAAGATAAATTATAGAACTCCAAGGCTGCTCACTGTGGTCTCAGCTCCTTTGAAAGCAGAATCTCTGGAACTGCTATGCTTGCCCCTCCCCTCCTTCTTCCCATTCACAGAAACCTTTGTATTATGTGAACTCATTCACAAAATACAAAGACTTCTGTGAATGGACAGCAGAGGGGTACGCATAGCTGCTCTGCACGGTTCTCTCCTCTCACAGCCGGAGTGTATCCTCTGGGAGTGCAATAAAGTTGTCACATAAAAGTAGTAGAGATAATTCCTGAAGGTGACATGTACCTAAATGGACCTAACTCATAGTGTGCCTGCACTTTTTGTAAGTTTACCGAATTCCTGGAATTCTGCTTTATAAACTAACTCTAGCCAACATTTTTAAGCAGTTACAGAGAACAGGTTTTTTTCATTTTGGTATTCAGAGTTCACATAAATTAATAAAAGCTAACTGTTGTAAGCATCCCTGTCAGTGGTTTGTTTCAACCTCCTAACGCCTACTTTTGCTGGACAGCTTGGTCTGTTAAAGAAAGTTAAAAAATAACAGCAGAATCAACAAGTAACAATGAACTTACACGGTGCACTCAGAAACCAATTTAAAACTGGTAAATAATGCTTTTCACGGCAAACAAGAGGCTGCCTAATATACTCCCAACTGAACTACAGGTTTTAGCCCAAATGTTTCCATTGAACAACAGAGACTGACCTGCTTTCCACAGAGTCCTAGGACTCGGACAGTACATTTTACACTAAGACAATATTGTTTTCACGAGGCACCAAGGGCTGGAGTACAATATATTTCCACTTGGCACCATGGACAATGGAGTCATTTACTGTACCTTTGGCTGGAAACTAGTAACTGGACCATGTACTTTATACTGGCATAAATGACTAGACAACTGGGACCATGCAGATCATTTTCACTTGAGACTGAGCAACTTATTCAACAAACATTACATGTATAGCCTTGCCTCAGGATGATACCATTGTCTCAGACATATTCAGGTTTGAAGAGATCACTGATTACGGACCCCAAAATATATAATCATTTACAAATAATTATTTTACTCTGAAACACTTTTACAGCTTGGTAATTACTGAGATGTTAATTATTGTTCTCCTCTGCACAGGATCTCCACTTGGGTGGCACTACAAAATTCTCTTTCATGCCCATTTTTAAACAGCACTCTGTGCTACAGCTCTCAGTACCAGTGAAAAAAGGGTAGACTTACAGATTTGTTAAAAGGGCAGGGACAATAGGTAAAATACAGTAATTCACAGTGGCTGGTTGGGGTTTAGTATAATTAGAGGAAATCCCTCATAAAAGAAATATGAAAACTGCCATTGTTGACCTGTATGACTCTTACGACTTACTGAATATGTCTCTGTATGACTTACGACTCACTAAGTATGAGGTACAGTGGGGCAAAAAAGTATTTAGTCAGCCACCAATTGTGCAAGTTCTCCCACTTAAAAAGATGAGAGAGGCCTGTAATTGGCATCATAGGTAGACCTCAACTATGAGAGACAAAATTAGAAAAAAAATCCAGACAATCACATTGGCTGATTTGGAAAGAATTTATTTGCAAATTATGGTGGAAAATAAGTATTTAGTCAATATCAAAAGTTCATCTCAATACTTTGTTATATATCCTTTGTTGGCAATGACAGAGGTCAAACGTTTCCTGTAAGTCTTCACAAGGTTGGCACACACTGTTGCTGGTATGTTGGCCCATTCCTCCATGCAGATCTCCTCTAGAGCAGTGATGTTATGGGGCTGTCGTTGGGCAACACGGACTTTCAACTCCCTCCAAAGGTTTTCTATGGGGTTGAGATCTGCAGACTGGCTAGGCCACTCCAGGACCTTGAAATGCTTCTTACAAAGCCACTCCTTCATTGCCCGGGCGGTATGTTTGGGATCATTGTCATGTTGGAAGACCCAGCCATGTTTCATCTTCAATGCCCTTGCTGATGGAAGGAGGTTTGCACTCAAAATCTCATGATACATGGCCCCATTCATTCTGTCCTGTACATGGATCAGTCGCCCTGGTCCCTTTGCGGAGAAACAGCCCCAAAGCATGATGTTGCCACCCCCATGCTTCACAGTAGGTATGGTGTTCTTTGGATGCAACTCAGCATTCTCTCTCCTCCAAACACGACGAGTTGTGTTTCTCCCAAACAGTTCTATTTTGGTTTCATCTGAC